CTCAGTCTCCCAAAATTCAGAGATTACAGGCTTGAGCCACTGCACCCAGCCAAATTATGAGTTTTCTGACGAAAGAAGACAATAGTAACTATAGTCTGGCCAAAGAAATTGAACCTCAGACTAATATAGCATCTGAATCCAGATGCCTATTTGCAGGAATTATAAAGGACAGATGCCTTATGAGTATGCAGTCAACAAAATTCAGACTGTGAGAAATTCAACAACACAAACGTTCTGAATTCAACAGATAAATGACCCTGCAATCCCCCTACTGGGAATATACCCCGAAGAACTCAAATCACTCTGTAAAAAAGATACCTGCACACATATGTTTATCGCAGCATTGTTCACAATAGCAAGAACCTGGAACCAACCGTGCTGTCCTCAAAAGAGGACTGGATTTAAAAAATGTGGTACAAGCCGGGCTCGGTGGCTCCGCCTGTAATCCCACACCTTTGGGAGGCTGAGGTGAGTGGATTGCCAGAGCCTGTGGGTTCGAGACCTGCCTGGGCAACTTGAGAGACCTCATCTCTACAATAAATCAAAAACTAGCCGGGCGTGGTAGCGCGCGCCTGTAGGTCCAGCTACTTGGAAGGCTGAGGTGGATTGCAGGAGCCCAGCAGGTCGAGACTGCGGTGGCGGGGAGCGACCACTGCACTCCAGTCTGGGTGACAGAGTGAGACTTCAACTCAAAAAAAAAAAAAATGTGGTACATATACACAATGGAATACTACACGGCCATAAAAAAGAACAAAATCATAAATTTCGCAGCAACCTAGATGGAACTAGAATCAATAATACCGAGTGATCTCTCACAAAAACAAAGATCTGAGTATCACGTGTTCTCACTCATAAGTGGACCTTGAACATCTATCATAATACTATAAGAAAAGGATTGACATGGGTTCGAGATCCACACGGAGCAACTTGACGAGACCTCATCTCTACAATAAGTCAAAAATTAGCTGGGTGTGGTAGCGTGTATCTGTAGTTCTGGCTACTTGGAAGGCTGAGGCGGAAGGATCGCCGGAGCCCAGCAGGTTGAGGCTCTGGTGGACGGGAGTGTGCCACTGCACTCCAGTCTGGGCGATGGAGTGAGACTCCAACTCAAAAAACAAAAAAGTGATATTGCATACACTTTCTTTCTTTCTTTTTTTTTAATTGTACAGACAAAGTCTCGCCAAGTTGCCCAGGCTGGTCTTGAACCCGCATGCTCAGGCAATCCACTCGCCACAAGAAAAGGATTGAAAATGGTTGGAAACTATGGGGGGGCAGGGAGGAGAAGGGAGGTGGGATTAACAGTAGTCAATATCTGTCTAGGGACGGGGAGACACCCCTTATAACCCTTAACTGTACCCTACAATTTTAAAATAAAAAATATGTTAAAAAAAAAAAGAAAAGGTAGAGAATTTCCTTTCCTTTTCTATAGTTTAAAAGAGACTTTAAAAACATATCAAATCTCATTTAAATAAAAAAGGCAAGGCCAAGTGTGATGGCTCATGCACGTAATCCCAGCACTTTGGAAGGCCAAAGCAGGGGATCACTTGAGCCCAGGAGTTCGAGGCTGACAAAAAAAAAAAAAAAAGCCAGGCATGATGGCACTCCTGTAGCCCCGGCAACTTAGGAGGCTGAGGAGATAGATCCCAACTCAGCCAGGAGTTGGAGGCTGTGATGATCATGCCACTGCACTCCAGTGTGGGCAGCAGAGTGAGACTTCAACTAAAAAAAAAAAAAAAAAAAAAAAAAAAAAAGGCAAGGCTAGGTTTTTTGTTTATGTTTAGAGATGGATTCTCACTGGCAGGCTAGAGTGCAGTGGTTATTCACAAACACAAACATAGCACAATACATCCTCAAATTCCTGGGCTCAAGTGATCCTTCTGCCTCAGCTTCCCAAGTACTTGAGACTATAGATATGTGCCACTCCACCAGCCTGGCTAGGGCAAAATTAATTTTGATGAGCCGGGCTTGGTGGCTCAGCCTGTAATTCCAGCGCTTTGGGAGGCTGCGGTGAGTGGATTGCCTGAGCCCGCGGGTTTGAGACCCACCTGGGCAACTTGGAGAGACCTCATCTCCATAATAAATCAAAAATTAGCCAGGCATGGTAGTGCGCGCCTGTGGTTCCAGCTACTTGGAAGGCTGAGGCGGAAGGATTGCCGAAGCCCAGCAGGTCGAGCAGCCACTGCATTCCAGTCTGGGTGACAGAGTGAGACTCCAACTCAAAAAAATACCCAAAAACTAATTTTGATAAATATGACATAGTAATGTAATATGATATTAGGATAAATAGAAATTGGGTGAGGGGTATATGGAAACCCTCTATATTATCTTTGTAACTTTTCTATAACTCTAAAATTATTCCAAAATAAAGTTTACTTTTTTAAAAGGCTAGAATGGGCCAGGCCCAGTAGTTTATGCCTATAATTCCAGCACTTTGGGAGGCCGAGTCAGGAGGCTCACTTGAGCTCAGAAGTTCAAGACCAGTCTCTACAAAAAATACAAAAATTAGTCGGGCATGGTGGCATGAGCCTGTAGTCCCAGCTACTCAGAAGGCTGAGGTGGGAGGATCACTTGGGTTCAGGAGGTCAAGCCAGGATTGCACCACTGCACTCCAGCCTGGTGACAGAGTGAAAGTCTGTCTCAAACAAACAAACAAACAAGGCTAAGATGGCTATAGAAAAAAAAAAGGAGGAACAATAATAACAAGTGTTAGCAAAGATATGGAGAAACTGTAACCCTCATCCTTGGCTGGTGGGACAGTCAAATGATACAAACACTTTGGAAAACAGCCTGACAGTTCCTCAAAGATGAAACATAGACCTACCATATGACCCACGGTTCCAACTCCTAGGTGTATGCCCAAAGAGAATGAAAACACATGTTCACACAAAAATGAGTCCAAAAATGTTCACAGCAGCACTGTTCATAGTCGCAAAAAGGTAGAAACAACCCAAATGTCCATCAACTGATGAGTGGGTAAATAAAATAAAATCTATCCATTCAATGGAGTATTATTCAATCATAAAAAGAAATGAAGTCCTGATATATGCTACCCGAAGGATGAACCTTGAAAACACTATGCTGAAGCCAGTCCCAAGGGACCACGTGTTATATAATTCCATTTATATGAAATGTCAAAAATAGGCAAGCCCATGGAGAATGAGAATACACACATGTTTGCCTAGGCCTGGAGGGTTGGGAAGAAATGGGGAGTGACTGCTAATGCAGACAGGGTTTCTTTTGGGGGTGTTCTGAAATTGATTGCAGTTATGGTTGTGTGATTCTGTGAATATATTAAAAATCATTCAATTGTATACTTTAAATAGGTGACATGATATACGAATCATCTTTCAAAAAATCTGTCACTAAAAAAGGCTAGATTAACGTAAATGGATGCAAGCTTGGGTGATAAAACTACAAAGAAATGCAAGGAAATTATTACAATAAAAGTCAATATATGATTACTTTAGGCAGAAGGGAGCATGTTGCAACTGGAATAGGGTACACAAAGGATTTTCCAGAGTGGCTGGCAAAATTCTATTTTTTGGTCTGGTGGTTGATATTGTGAGAAGTTTTATATATCTGTGCTTTGTTTTACAATAAAAAGAGTTTTCAAAAAGACTCACTATCAAATTTGTTTCAAACACAAGTGTGACATCTCCTCAAATCTAATCTTACCATGTGTAAGTCTCCAAATTTGGCTGTGCAGAATACAAGAAAGTATGCATATCCTCAAAGAATTTATCTTTTAGCAGTATACTTTTTTTGAATCATAAAAAAAAAAGAACTAGCCCCTTTTATATATTTACTGGCACAAAATTTACAGATAATACACTACAAGTTTTAGAAAATGATACAATTCGGGGGCTAGGAAGCATATCTGAAAGGAACTTAAGCTACATTATTAAAAGACAAACTGTAAAACTGAGACAGAGATCTTACGCAAGCTACTTTATGCCCAGAGGCAAAAAGAACTGAAGAAAAAGTTCGAGGACTCTGAATAAGAATAGCTAACATTTATTGAGGATTTATCAAATCATTTAATCCTAACACCAAACCTATGCAGGGGGTACTATGACCATTTCCACATTACAGATGAAGCAACTGAGGTACAGAGATGGTCTGTAGGTACAGTAGAGAAGGTGCCCTGGGGCATGGATTGTGAACCCAGACCACTTGGGTTAGAATCCTGGTTCTGCAATAACTAGCTATGTGACTTTAGGCAAATTACCTCTGTGCCTTAGTGCCCTTTTGTTTAAAATGAGAACGGTAATAGTATCACCTTCATCATAGGGTCTTTGTGAAGATTAAATGATTTAATGCATATAGAACATTTAGAACAGATTATGACAAAAAGCAAGTATTCATTAATATTAGATATTACAATAACAGAATAATTTCTAGAAAAAGCACATGTGAATCATCCCCTTCCATTTCTATTGAATAAAGTATTAAATTATACACCTCTGCCCCTATATGTTTTTCAAGATTGATTATTTATATTTAGGTTGGCGCTTCATGTTAGACTGAGATCATGCTACTTTTGAGGTACCTAGAATAGTTCAAAAATTATTTGCCAATACTTGCAAAGAGAGTGCCATTTTTCCAGAAAATAGGAAACTTGGCAGTTCCTATGCCACACTGGCAGAGTAAGATCTTAAAATCTTCGCAGAATGTAGAGGTTAAAGATTAGCTGAGGAGGAAGCTTGGCCAAGGGTATGGCACAGCTTAAAGCAAACCTGGATACAGTCTGAGGGATGTCTGCACAGTTCTTCTGGGGCTGCAGCCATTCAACCCAGGTGAGTTGAATGAGCAGATGAGTGGCAGTGGCCAGCAAGGCAGGTGCCCATAGGGTCTTTCTGTTATATTACCTTTAGAAGGGTTCCTCTTCTTAGCCTCAACCCAGTCACAGAGGGCAGAGTTTCAGTAATAGGGAAGACAGATATAACAAGAGAGAAAAGAGATACTTAGGAAAGGCCAGGCAGGATCCCAAATATACATACTTTCCATAAGAAGTATCTTTTAATACTAATTCTGGAGCTCTATACCAGCGTGTGGCCACATAGTCTGTATAAATGTCCCCAGGAGCTGCTAGTGTTCGTGCAAAACCAAAATCACAGAGCTTAGTAATTCCAGTCTGTGATACTAAAATATTCTCAGGTTTTATATCTCGATGAATGATCTAAAAAAAGCCAAACAGAATATGGAATATATTAAAATGAGATTTCATTATTTAGAGAATCTCTAAAAAATTAAACAGAGAAAATTTAGCTAATTAAGATAGTAAAGCTATTTCCTTATCAAATGAAAAGGATTAACTATACAATGCAAATATAGTCATATATTTTCAGTTCTTGTTCTATCCATCACCTAAAAATGAAACAAAGCCAAGAAAACAGACATAATACTAAAACATCAAAACATCAAATCACATTCCTATAAATAAAATCAAAAGTTATGCAAAACTGAACTTCCCTTTAACTCCATGTCCCACATCAGTTATTGCCATTTCTCTCCTTTCCTTCACAGCTAAGCTTCTTGCAGACATTGTCTGTACTCAGCCTTCACCTTCTGATCATCCAGACACTCAACATAATGTCATCTTGTCTCCTGCTCCCATACTGCATTAAACTTCCCTAACCAAAGTCATCTGCATGGTTGCTACATCCAATAGACATCTCTGAATCCATATCTGACTTGATTTCATCATGTAAAAACATTGCCAACTACCCCTCTGTTCTTGGTTTCTGAGACCTAAACTTTTCCCAGTCACCTTCTAACTACCTGGCAGTTCCTCTTTCTCTGTCTATCCTTAAATGCAGAATTTTTGTCTTAGGCTTTCCTTTCTTCTCATACATGCTGTTTCCTAGTCAATCTCATCTACTCTTTTTAGACTACCTTCATCACTTGGTTCTAGGGAAAACACACTCATGGGCTTCTTCTAACCTATTGGCTGCTTCATCTCAATCTGATCTACTCTTTTAAAAAATTATTTTCTAACATTTCATTTATTTTAATTGATAAATAAAAAATGTATGTATTTATATATTATGTACATGTTGTTTTGAAATCTGAACGTATACTTTGTGGGATGGCTAAATCAAGCTAATTAACATATGTATTACCACGTATATTTATCATTTTTTTTGTGGTGAGAACACTCAACAATTTTTAAGAATATAATTCACTGTTATTAACTATAGTCACCATTTTGTATGATAGATCTCTTGAACTTATTCCTCCTATCTAAACTGAAACAAAAGCGGGGAGCAAGTGAGGTGATTCAGACCTGTAATTCCAGCATTTTGGAAGGCTGAGATGGGAGAATCACTTGAGCCCAGGAGTTCAAGGCTGCCGAGAGCTATGATCACACCATGACACTCCAGCCTGGGTGACAGAGTGAGACCTTATCCATTAAAAAAAGAAATCCTTAGCTCCATGTGGATGAGGATAATGGCAGGCCATTTTGGGAATATCATTATCACCAGTATTTATCAAAAATTGTCCAAAAGATTTTCTCGCCCATCACATGCTGTACTACTACATTGCCTGTGCCACAAAACTTGGCATTTATCATCTACACTTACTACATCATCTGCCTAAGCCTATTTTCTCAATTATAAAATCTCTTTCTACTTATTTTGTATCCCAAATATTATTTAATATTTTATGAGTCATCCAAACACTTTGACTACTGTTTTAGGAAGATGTAACAAACTTATAATGAGATGTTCCTTTTCTATATAAGTATCTATACATGGTAGGTCTCAATAACACCTCTGACTTTTTGTTATCACCCATTAATTCAATTCATTCTTTTAATAAATATAAGTTGATAGCCTATTCTATTGAAAATACTATCCTAGGCAATGAATAAAGCAAAGTCCCAATGGTCTGATAAGGAAGACAGATTATAAGCAAGTAAACAAATACACAAAAAGAGTTATGTGAAGGCAGTGTGATAGAGACTCAAGAAGGTGATGTCAGCAGGAGTGGCAGATTATGGACCTTCAAAAATGCTTTCCTCCATAAAAGCAATGAGAACATTGTGGGAAATTGTCAAAATCAACCTTTTCAGAAATCTGGAAACTAATCAAAGGTTTGCAACAATTCAGAGTATATTTCTTTTAAAAAAAATGCTAATCAGCCGGGTATGATAGCACATGCCTGTAATTCCGGCTACTTGGAAGGCTGAGGTGGAAGGATCGCCAGAGCCCAGCAGGTCGAGGCTGCGGTGGCCGGGAGCGGCCATTGCACTCCAGTCTGGGTGACAGAGTGAGACACCAACTCAAAAAAAAAAAAAAAAAAAAAAAAAGCTGCCAAATCTCAGTAAGAACAGCAAGCTTTGAGCTTCATAGTATTCTCTTTTTTGAGTCAGATTCTCACTCTGTGGCCCAGGCTGGAGTGCAGTAGCATGCTCACGGCCACCGCACCCTTGACCTACTGGGCTCAGGCGATCCTCTGCCTCAGCCTCCCAAGTAACTGGAACCACAGGCATGCGCCACCTCACCCAGCTAATTTTCTGATTTATTGTAGAGATGAGGTCTCACCAAGTTGCCCAGGCTGGTCTCGAATGCATAGGTTCAGGCAATTCTCTCACCTTGACCTCCCAATGTGCTGGGATTATAGGCGTGAGCTACCATGCCCGGCCTCTTAGGATTCTTAACTTGTATTTCTATTCCTCTCTTCACAGCTCCTAGTAGTCTTAAGAATCTATAGCTCCACAGTCATGATGAAAACCAGTGGCCTAGCAGCCACTGGAGGGAGCAGAACTGAGCTATAGCTCCTCTAAAGCCTTATTCCCAAGAAACTATCATTATCTGACCTGTGCATTTCCCGGAAAATTCCACTAAAAGACTTGTCTTATTTGACCCAACTCAGAATTTGATTAGGTAAACAACCTTTCCCCTGTGGCCTTTGTCAGAAATAATCATCAGCTACTAAATAATATCACAGTGACCTGAGGCAGCCATAACAGTGCCAACAACAAGCTGACCAAAATTTTTTTTTAAAGATGGGTGTGAGATGTCCAAGGGAAACTTTGAAAAACTCCAGTATATCCCTGAGATTCTAGAAGGTCACATGTATGAGCAGAGGTGTGTCCAAGAAATACCAGAGATGGTCTTAAGCTCTCACTTCTGGCTGACTTTGAGTCTACCTTAGTTAAGGCTAAGGCAGGAAGTTAAGGTTAAAACAGAATTTTAAACCACTTGCCTCTGCATTGAAGGCATATCCCAACACACATAGACAGCCTCTCAGTAAAGGCTGAGAGATTTATTTTTCTCGGGCATTTAAGAAAATCTCTGTCCACTCATTAGCTGACCACTAAGCTCAGCAGATTTCAGTGGTCACATATGACAAAGAATACAGACTTCACAGAACATTTCAGAAAAGTAAACAAACAGCCACAGCAGCAAACTCTAAGAGAGAAAACACTGATTTCCAGTTGCCACATTATAGTGTTTAAAATATCCTATTTTCAACAAAAACTCACAAAGCATGCAAATAAACAAGTATGGCCTATAAACAGGAAAAAAAGTACTCAATAAAAAATTTCTCTGAAGAAGCCCAGACATTGGACTTGCTAGACAAAGACTTTAAATCAGGTATTTTAAATATGTTCAAAGAACTAAAGAAAACTATGTCGGCCGGGCGTGGTGGATCAGCCTGTAATCCCAGCACTTTGGGAGGCCAAGGCAAGAGGATTGTCTGAGTCTGGGGGTTCAAGACCAACCTGGGCAACTTGGTGAGACCTTGTCTCTACAATAAATCAAAAAATTAGCCAGGGATGGTAGCACACACCTGTGGTTCCAGCTACTTGGAAGGCTGAGGCAGAAGGATCGCCTAAGCCCATGCGATGGCTGTGAGTGTACCACTGCACTCCAGCCTGGGCAACAGAGTGAGACTCCAACTCAAAAAAAAGAAAATAGTAAAAGAAAACTACGTCCAAAGAACTAAAAGAAAATATAAACACAATGTCTCACCAAATAAAGGATATAAATAAAGAGAAAGAAATTATAAAAAGAACCAAATAGAAAAGGACACAATCAAGAAAGCAAAATACAACCCACAGAACAGGATAAAATAATTGTAAGTCATATCCTGATAAGAATCTAGCATCTAGACTATATAAAATATAACTCAGTGATAACAGGACAAGTAACCTGATTTAAAAATAGGCAAAGGGGCTGGGCTCAGTGGCTCAGACTGTAATCCTAGCACTTTGGGAGGCTGAGGCGAGTGGATTGCCTGAGCCCACAGGTTCAAGACTAGCCCAGGCAACTTGGTGAGAACTCTTCTCTACAATTAAAAAAAAAAGAAAAAGAAAAAGAAAAAAAATTAGTCAGACATGATAGCATGCGCCTGTAGTTCCAGCTACTTGGAAGGCTGAGGTGGAAGCATCACCAGAGTCCAGCAGATCAACGCTGAGATGGCTGTGAGTGTGCTACTGCATTCCAGCATGGGCGACAGAATGAGACTCCAACTTAAAAAAATAAAATAAAATAAAAATAGGCAAAGGACTTCAAAAGATGGTTTACCAAAGAAGATATGCAAATATGAATTGCCCATTCTGGTGACTTTACTTAAAAGGAACAATATGTGGCCTAGTAAATCTGACTTAATATCATGTAACATCATGTCTTCAAGATTCATTCATGTTGTAGCATGCATCAATGCTTCATTACTTTTTTGTATGGATAATATTCCATTACATGGATATATCTTGTTTTGTTTATTCATTTATCAGCTGACATCAGTTATTTCCACTTTTTGGCTATGAATAATGCTGCTGTGCGTATTCCTGTGCAGGTTTTTGTATAAACATATGTTTTCTTTTTTTTTTTGAGTTGGAGTCTCACTCTGTCACCCAGACTGGAGTGCAGTAGCCACTCCTGGCCACCGCAGCCTCAACCTGCTGGACTTCGGCGATCCTTCCGCCTCAGCCTTCTGAGTAGCTGGAACTACAGGCGCATGCTACTACGCCCGGTTAATTTTTTGATTTATTGTAGAGACAAGGTCTCACCAAGTTACCCAGGTGGGTCTCGAACCCGCGGGCTCAGGCAATCCACTCACCTCAGCCTCCCAAGGCACGTGATTACAGGCTGAGCCACCGAGCCCGGCTTAAACATATGTTTTCAATTCTCTTGGGTGATACCCCAGAGCAGAATTGCTGAGGTATGT